TCTTCTTTGCGGTTGGAAGACGTTCGATGATCTCTTCATATGCTTCTTCGAATTTTTGCTCAAATATTGCATTAAAAGAATCATCAATTGCATCTTCAAATTCATCATCTTCAAAGTCATCAGAATCATCAGACCTATAGTGTGATGAAGACGCCATGTAGAAGATAGAGGTGTGTGAAACAAAAGAATTGAAGAAGAGAGTAGATGAAGATGGTTAGAAAACCTTGAAGAAGAGAGTATTTGGGGTAAAACGAACGACTTGGAGAAATGAGTTACAACGAAATACTTGGGGAAAAAACAGATTATATAATGCAAACATTATCTCAGATACCATCGTTTACAATAATTTAAAAGTACCCATCATGAATTTCTACAGAAGATAAAATGAAACATAAAAGTACACTCGTGACACAAGTAAACAAAACGAGAGTAGCTCGTGATAGAAGACCCCAAAAATGTCTGGTATCCCACATAAAGCACTCCACAAAAGCCTGAAAAAGATGACAAAAGTCATAGATAACAAATCAATCATTGCAATTCACGAATAACACATGAACATGGAATTGAAACAAACATAACCGAGCATTAGACATTAAACATAACCGAGCATTAGACATTAGACATACATAACCGGGGAAACAAAAACAAACATCATAAAAGTGCCCAATACAAATTTAAACATTTCCCAATACATAACCGGCTTCAAGATAACAACTCAGAAATCAACTTGTTCTTGAGGGCATTTTCAATGTCAGAGAGTGGCTCAGGTTTCGCTAGGAGTTTGTCCAGGGTTTTGTGCTTAGCAAATTTTGACTTCATCTCCATATCTTGTTGTCTAGTCTTAGCAATTTCTGCCTTCAACTCCAGATCCCTTTGCCTAATACTCCTCAAGTTCTGAAAATCGAGAAGTGCCTTACCTTCTTCTTTACAGCCGTTTTGCTTCTTGGCTTTTGCATTAGACGCTTTCACTCCTGGTGGTCGCATCTCTGCAGCATCATGTACATCTGCTCCGGCCTCCACATTGTTAGACGACTGACCCGATCCATGTATATCATCCACCTTTTTTCTTTTCGAGCTTGCACTGTCTTTTAAAGCGGTGGTTCTGCACCATTTCTGGTCATGTCTTAACTCGCGCCATGCATGTTCTAAGACAAACTTGAAGCCATGATCATTGAAAAATATGTCATGTGCACCTTTCATGACATCATTTTCATTTTGCCCACTGGTCTTCTCCTTCGTAGCTGCTTCATAGCATCCCACGAACTTGCAAACTTGATCGTTGATCCTACACCAACGTTGCTTGCACTGGCCGACTTCCCTTTTTGGCTGACTGGCGAGATGCTTTGAGTTGTTGTAGTACAAGCATATGCGGCTCCAAAAAGCAGAAGCTTTCTGGTCATTACCAACGACCGGATCTTTACTCGTATTCAGCCACGCGGAGATGAGGATGACATCTTCCTTCGGTGTCCACTTGATTCTTTGTGCAGGTGTCTTCCCTTCTACGCTTGGAGCCTCATAAGTCTGTGTACTAAACACAGGGACCTCTGATGATCCAAGGTCAATGATGTGCGAGTAGCCGTCATTAGGGAGCTGGATTGTTAAAAGATTTACAAAACCTTCAGCCTGGCCGTAATTGTTGCCGGAATCCATTAGGGTTTACAAAGGTTCGGTGGTGTTGAAGAAAGAGGAAGGGTTTAGAAGTAGGCAATGTTATATGAGTAGTGTAAGTTTAGGGTTTAGAGTAGTTTGAGTAGTTTGAGTTTTTTAGAGTAGTTTGAGTAGTTTAAGTAGTTTAAGTATTTACAAAGTTTTTTAGAGTAGTTTAAGTTTTTTTATGTAGTACAAGTTTTTTAATGGAGTTTTACTGAAGCAGTGTGTCATTTACTAACCCTAAACCTAACTTTTACTTTCATTCAAGGCATTGATCACAATGGATGCCAAAGCACACGCAAACTTCTACTTTCATTCAAGGCATTAAAACTTAACAACTTTCAGCTAACAACCTCAACAAGCATTTATACCAACTCAATGCCTATCTAATTCTGCAAAGACAAAGGGGAAAAGGAAGCTAACCTCGTTGAAAAGACTCCATGATAGAATGGCATCAGTTGTTATCTCGATATTCCCACCATGTTACACTCGAAAAAAAATTGAAATAAGTGTAATGGACATATAACATTCAATACAGTCTTAACTCCTCTACCTAACCAAAATCGAACTAGCATTAAACACAAACAAGTGGCAACAAAAACAAACTCAAACAAGCGAACATGAATACATTCATAAACCCTTAAGATTAAAAGTTCAACATAATTCAACATTACAACAAAACATGGTCTGACTTAGTGAAAAGAAGACAATTTAACTTGTTCCTCTTAAATAGACAACATTCATTGAACAATTGTTATTGTCATGCTTATAAAAACCTACTTAAACATATAGCAAACGGCAGCGAATACAACAAATATAACAAGGAACATGAATGCGTCACCTTGGTTAGCATTGTGGGCTTTCAGCATCGTCACATCTTCTTGAAGATGTCCCACATGTTCTTGCAGCATAGACACGTCTTCTTGCAGCATTCGGACATCTTCCTTCAAGTCTGCAATGGTTGGATTAGTAGCATGGCGCCTGTCGACGCTGAAGAGCATCTCCTTTTGCTCGTCTAGCCTAAGCTCAAGTATGGAGAACTGCTCCGTCACAGCCTCATCCCACCATTGCCTCTTGTGCTCACCACGACCCTACGTAAGAGTAGATATTAAATCCTCATCGAAAAACATGTATGTATTTAAAAACTTTGTAACTACAACTTACCTCACAGACCCAGTCAGGGCATGTGTAATACTTGCGGCCTGCAATTCCCATAGCACCACCAGGACAAGTTTCAAGCTTCACACGTTTCCCAAAAAAACATTTCTCTGGTATCCCGTAGGTTGCATCCGCGTAGGCCCATCCTAAATCCATTTCTAGATCTTCGGATGATGTTTCGCTATAATGAGGCATTGCCTGCAATGATAGTCATTAAACAAGTCGTCAAGTTAAAGCAAGTAACATAACTATTCAATTAACAAAGAAGAACAAGTAAGTCACATATGCGACTCACTTAATAAATCTCTAAAGAAATCCACATAACTAACAACTCACAAAGCAAAAGAACATTGGCTAAAGACAACAATCAACCGATGCTCAAAGTCAAATGCTTAGTGAAGAGAATCAAACAAAAACATTGCCTAAAATTCCACTATCATACGTAACAAACTGTTTTCCATTTTATCTGCTTGCATCATCGTTTAGTTTATGAATCGTGACAAACTAAACCAACAAAATCAATCGACAAACCCTAAATTAAAAATTTCAGTTTCGTCAAACCCCACAATTCGAGTGAACCGTTGTGAAAACATCATCTATATGCAACCGCCTAAACACAAAAACCCCTAATTTGAACTTTCAAACATGTCAACAAATTTCCCCTAAATTCGAGAAACCCTAAAATTCGATAATCTAATTTAACATAACCAATGATTCGACTGTAATCGATGTCAAACAACATCTACATGCACACGCCGATACACAAAAACCCCTAATTTGCACCGATGATTAACCGATACATTTTCCCCAAATCGACGAACCCTAATCTCCCCCAAAAGTTCATCAAATCACAAAAATAAACGAATAGAGAGATGATTACCTTACACAGATGACGGAAGAGATGGATCGGAGGCGCCGAAAACGACCGGATAGCACGATCTCCGGAATTCGACGATATCGCCTCTCTCGTCGCCTTTGAGAGAGAAAAAAGGAAAAAGATTTGTTCTCCACTTTTTCGCGACCTAATTTTTTTATCCTCCAAACATTTTGCAATTAAAATTGTAAAAAAAAAAAAATTTAACCACCACTAATATGCCGCCACGTATTCGACGAGACGGTCTCATCCGCTTCTAATATAAGGAGCGATCCGTCGAGTTTTTGGCTGAGAAATGATTAAAAAATGACTGACCCATATGAAACTGTGTCGACGTTTTTTTTTAAAATCTCCTGCTGGAGATGCTCTCAGAAATTCGGGGAAGATCATTCAGTTATGTAATGTATTATGTTAATAAACAGTAAAAGAAAAAGTTTTGACGCTGAACTAAAACGCAAAAGTCTCATAAAGTCATGATTTTATCTCTCTCTTCGTAAATACACATTCAACGAGGAATCCTAGACTTTAAAACCAACTCTTTGACTTAAAGGTGAATCTGTTTGTGTTCCGTACTTTATGTTCCGTAAATAGCCTCAAATCGAGAATTCTAATCAAAGCCGGTTGTTAGACCGGTTTATGATCATGATTTTGGTTCCGGTTCCGGTTTCGAATCAACTTTCTTTTTTGTTGTATGAGAAAATTGTAACTGGGCTGGGCCTCATTGTTTAGCTCAGTGGACCCATATTTTAAGTCGTCTTTTTCTTTTTCTTTTTTTTTTTCCTCACCTTGTGCTATGTTTATGTTATACGCGTCATTGTCATATTAAATTTGTTTCTCCACTTTCTAGAACTTTTTTTCAGAAAAATTAAGGCCGTCTCTACTTCGCTGATAATATATTTTAATTTATACTCTTTAAATCTATTGCCAAAGATATAATAATATATATCATTGTCTTGTGACGCAGACCGAAAGTGCATTCACCTACACGAATGGTTCTTACTATATCTGTGTCAAAGAATCATTGGCCGAACCATATTATAGTCCAGACGCGTGACACCTGAACGCTTCAGAAGATGCAGAAATATTAATTATACTACGACGTAATGTAATTGATGACGGAGCCGTTAAATACACGTTGCTTTTGTAAGCAAATTCGACGCTTTAGAAGCCGTTAACTATGACAGCGTCAAATATATTTTTTAATTTATATGTTCCCAAGCGTTGCAGGTTACACAACCAACGTCTCAGATCAAAACCATCGATTCAACGGTTGTGATCGAGTTTAAATTTTCGTATTTTCTTATTTTAGGCTTCCTTCGAGATCTTTCTTTCAAAGGTGGAAGAAAGCGCTAGAATACTGATTTGTTGTTGTTGTTCTTCTTCTTGGAATCGAAAGCTACGATCTGCACGAATCGATCGGAAACAATGGCGGATGAACATAAGCACGAAGAATCTCTGCCTAATTTGGACCCAGCGGTGGAAGTTGTAGAGAGGGAATCGTTGATGGAGAAGATATCAGAGAAGGTCCATCACAAAGGTGACTCTTCGTCATCGTCGTCGTCGTCAGATGACGAAAACGAGAAGAAATCTCTGAAATCGAAGGTTTACCGTTTATTCGGCAGGGAGAGGCCCGTTCATAAGGTTCTCGGCGGCGGAAAACGTACGTTCTACGACGATTTTTACGATTTCGTTTTCGCTGGCTTGATTTTGTTTTACTTTCTTCTAGAATGATGATTTTTCCACTGGTTAGAGCTTTGATGCTTCGTTTTAGGGATCGGTGGTTCTCTGTGTCGTTAAGAGGATGGTTGATTAGCTTAGAGCTTTGTTGATCTCGTTGAGTATTCTAGTTCATCTGGATCCACCTTATTTCTGGTTTTGGATTGTATCAATTGATACGATTTCCATCTCTAACTTGACTTGTTTGAGTATTGAAAATAGAAGTTTACTCATGATCTTCTCGTATTTTATTGATGATAGGACTTCTTGTTTATATCTTGATTTCTAAGCCTTAATTTGGTGATCTTTCCTGATTGCAGCGGCTGATATATTTATGTGGAAGAACAAGAAGATGTCAGGTGGTGTATTTGGTGGTGCTACAGTTGCATGGGTTCTCTTTGAATTGATCGAGTATCATCTTCTTACTCTGCTATGTCACGTTATGATCGTTCTTCTTGCTGTGCTGTTTCTATGGTCTAATGCCACTATGTTCATTCACAAGTAAGTTCATATTTAAATTCTATGAAAGTTGCTTGCTTCACATCTTAGATGAAGCTTGTTTGACCCATCTCATTTGTTGCTAATTCAGGTCTCCTCCAAAGATTCCTGAAGTACATATCCCTGAAGAACCTCTTCTTCAACTTGCTTCAGGGCTCAGAATCGAAATTAACCGAGGGTTCTCTTCTCTTCGCCAGATCGCATCTGGAAGGGATCTCAAGAAATTCCTCTCTGTAAGTTTAAAAACTGTCCCACACTTCTCTCTCAGTGTCTTATCTTTAAGGTTGAACTATAATTGTCTTGTTCGATCAAATTAGGCTATCGTCGGATTATGGGTTCTATCAGTTTTGGGTGGATGCTGTAGTTTCTTGACATTGGCATACATAGGTAACAACACTTACCATGAAGTATTGTTTCTTTCTTCTCTAACACATCATTTATTCTAACAATGCTAATGAATGGTATGGTTCTCTGTTGATTTAGCTCTGGTTCTGCTCTTCACTCTTCCTCTTCTCTATGACAAGTACGAGGACAAAGTAGACTCATATGGTGAGAAAGCAATGGCTGAGTTGAAAAAGCAATACGCTGTGTTCGACGCAAAGGTATTGAGCAAAATCCCAAGGGGACCATTGAAGGATAAGAAGAAAGATTAGGGTTTTTGCGGGTTTTTTTTTTGGCGTGGGTGTGCACAATGCTCTGGTTTTGAAAATGTGGGTTGTGTTGTGAAATGGTAAATCCAAAAGTTGTGTTAGATCTCATCTCATTTCTCTCGAGTTTTTACTTAACACCTTTGCTTCTTTTTTTTCTTTGTTTTGTTCTGTGGTATTGGTGGTGTTCTTGTTGCATGAGGTCAAAACTTGTAGTGGCTCTTTTACTTGTTGAATATGTATGTAGTCAGTCTTTGACTAACGTATCGATTTATCTGTGTTGTATACTTCGGTGTTACGATCTCGAATAATACATATATCTTTTAGTGCGTGTATATATATGTAAAATGGTGCTAACTTTGTTACCAAAGTCAGGATGGCCGAGTGGTCCAAGGCGCCAGACTCAAGTTCTGGTCCTCGAAAGAGGGCGTGGGTTCAAACCCCACTTCTGACATGTTATTATTTTTCATAATTTTTTGAAGCGTAATGAAGATGTGAAGTTATGTATGCGAAAGATTATATTTAACAAAAGGTTCATATAAGAACATCTCCATCGCAGGATTACTGTAGTATCACAAATGGGCTGTAGTATCACAAATGGGCCCGGTCGTTTTTTTAAGATTTGAAAATTACAAAAGAAGTCTATTTTCGTTGAATCCGTATAACTGCAGTGAATTTGTTGAATCCGTATGAGTAGAGTATCACTGGATAGATGTCAGCATCTGATAAGTTAAGCGTTGCCCTTCTTTAAAAATTAAGAGCCATTAAAAAAAAGAAAAAAAGGAAAGATTTAATTAAGAATTCTTGTGTTCAATTTCTGTTTTCTACATCGTTTTAATATTTAAACCGTGAAAGATGCTTATTTGTGATGTGCCTTTACCGTAAGAATCCGTGAAATTGAATTATCTTTGCCGGCGTTGTTCAATTTTCTCCGTCTTCTACCAACCCGTAAACCGACCACACCGTCCCCTCCGTTTTCTTCCGGCGTCGTCTTCGCTGCGAAACGGGTAATCATTTATGTTTTATGCATTCCCTCGTTTCGTGAAGCTCTGCTTTTTGTTTGAATCAAAGCGATAGAGCGAGTTAGTGATGAGATAGTAGGACTCGAAGTATTCTGCATCCCAATTGTTGTTTATGTTTTTTCAGGCTTTAGTGATGAGACTTTCTTTTGGTTTGTTTTTGCATTTTCTTGGGAATTATCGAGAGTGCTTCCGATGAATCTTAGATTGATTAAAATTCTGATTTCTTCGTCCTTATAGTTGTTATCTTGTTGTATCACAGAGAAGAAGAAGCTTTCAACTGAGTTGCTGGAAAGTGTTGTTTATAACTCTCTAACAAAAAAAAAAAAAATTTATTCTGATGAACCTAACAAGGGTTCAGGGTTGGAGTTACAAATTTGGTTAGAAATCATCACTGTTAAAAAAAAAAACAATTATTAAAAATATCCTATGAACCCCAGTGAGGATATCAGGGATGGAGATGCCCTAACACCTGTTAAAAATTAAAACACCTTGATAATTGATGTGTCTATAAAAAAAGTAACACCTGGGTATGTCTATAAAAGTTAACAGAAAAAATAGTACATATAAAAATAGAGTGAATATTTAATATGTAGTACAGTGAAAACATGATAATACAGTGGGTTCCACGTCTTATTTTTCAAAACAAATAATTGTAAGCAAAGCACTTCGTCACAAATGATGTCTTTTCTTAACCACAAAGAATTGTTTAATGGCTAATCGTCGATCATGTTCAAAATCCGAACATGTTAATCTACCCCTCAGTATATTAATATATGCATAATGGTATGAATAATAATCGGTTCTATTAAAATAAAATATTTGTAAACAGAAATTATGACTTGTAACTTTACTCAAAATGTAGTGTCTCTAAGAAAGTATGTTAGGAGTTAGGACCTTAGGTAGTGAACAAAAATAATAAATCAGAGAAAAAACTTTATCATTAATTTTGTAATCTACTACAACTGGTTCATGTTGGCATGTTGCAACATATCATTTGATTACTTTCTTCCTCAATTTTTGTTTTTGGGTAGTGTCGTTGTTTTACATAAATTGGATTGCTAATCTTTTTTTGTTTGCCAACAAAACTAGATTGCTAATCAAATATCAAAGTATGCATTAACAATACAGACACACTAAAGACATCAGTTGACAAATTAAAAATCTTTAAATTTGGTAATACCAAAAAGAATATGAGCTATTCTGCCTCAACACTAAACAACTTACATCTTTACAATTTATCGCATAATTATTGAGAATGTACTATATAAGGCTTTGATCAATTTAACGACGACATAAACAGCGTTTAAACAAAATTCAAAGATCGTAATTCGTAACTCCTTAAATTGCAAAGACAAACACAACCGAATTGACAAAATAACAAGAATCAAGAAAAAACATAAATGGGAAAAAAAGAGAACCAAAAAACCCTAAATAATAAAGAAGAAGCCGATATAACACCTTGGTAGGTTCGAAGATGATCGAGCCTATCCGCCGTTCCATGACTTGCCGGTTCAACCCCACCGCTTTAACCGGGCCGGTTTGAAGAATCATCATAACTACCGGTTATTATTATTTGCAGGGAGTGAACATTTTTTTAAGTTACGTGGTGAAAACCCTCCGGTCCACCTTGAAGCTTCTATGGAAGCTCAGCTCAAGCTCCCCATTTGGTTCCAACCTCTTAATTTTGATCCATCTAGGGAGATCTTGATTAAACTTCCATGGCTAAAAATGGGGAGAGAGAGTTTTTGTCTTTCTACTTCTTGTCTTTATATAGGCAATGATTTTTTCATTAATTATTTAGACTAGGAAAGAGTGAGAAACTCACACCAAAAAGCATTGATAATCGAATGCATATGATGTAAAAACCAAATTTATAATTAAAATAACTAAATGATAACCAAATTTACAACAAAATCTAAACACTGCAATCTTATGAAAATGGAATGTTTTGATCAAATAAAAGAATTGCGTATACTAAACAAAATTGTATTCTTTATTTTGTGTCTTATTGGTTTAAAATAACATCTGTTGTTTGAAGTGGGTGGACTTAACCGACAATAGTACCCCTGAGTAGATTCCCACCAATTACCCCCCACGCACTCTGCAATCTACTGCTCTGTTTATAATCATTGGAGGGTAATAACGTGAAAACACCTTGTTTACTAAATTGCTATATAAAATTATCAATCTAGAATGCAAAATCAATTAAAAAGTCAAGATATCACTATTTACAATTCTTAATCTAGAGTGCAAAACAACCAATTAAAAAGTCTACATAAATTACGCTTTACAATTATTATTCTAGATAGTGCAAAACCAATCAAAAGTCTAGACTTTAGAATGCGTTGCGAGGGACCCCGAGTCCAATATCTTTAATTTTGGTGGATCAACTGCCTGTTTGTCTATTTTCAATTGGCCATTCCTCTTTAATTATTGTAATTTCATCATTTCTTTTGAATATTTCCTCGAAATCCTGACTATATGTCCACTAAGTCACACTTCGCTTTTCAAAAACATTTCAAAAGCATTAAGTAGTTTTTGTTTGATCATCTTAAGGGATATCATACGCAAGATATTCACTTTACAAATTCATCGGAGTTACCAAAAAAAGAAGAAAATTTGAAGGAATGATTACATAGATCAGATGAAACTATCTTATTTTCAAAGAGCTAATGTAAAGAAATGCATGAAACTTTCTCTCATTTCTCTTAAAAATGATTGATAGTCACATACGAGTGAAAACGATTGTGGACCGAGAGTAGCTCCTATATTTGCTTATTTAGTCTCTACTTGCAACTTCCAATCCTTCATCAACTCAAAGCACGATTCAACTCAAAGGATTGGAACCTATAAGCTGGCCATGCTTTCTTCCTCAAAACAGAACCAATAATATTCGATGTTTGAGAAGCAAAACTACCTTGTTAAGCTGATGGCTCAACATGCTTTCCACAGCCCACCAAACTAAGCTTTTCAATTTTGGCTTTAATCAATATGCCAATATATGAAAAAGCTCTTCTACTATGCAACAATACATCCCTATGAGAATCTCTTAAAATCCAAGCAGCTCCAAGAAGAGAATTTTCCTTCAAAAACCCAAGCAGCTCCAAAGCAATAAAGTAACTTTACTATTAGGTTTGCTGCAAATAATAAAAGAAAAACTTTTACAAAAAATAATAATAATAAGAAATTAGTAATTTTACTTGTTTAACTTTTCATTTACATAGTTGTCGCTCATTTATGTTTTTCTATCATTGCATAGACATTTTCAAAGTTTAAACCATTTAAGCGAACATATTAAGGACTACCTTTTCTCCCTATGACTTGACCTCTCTAGTTATGCGATAAATAATGATGATAATCTCTTTCCATGGCTCTTCTTGCAATCTCTATGGCTTCGAGAGTGGAGACAATGTGGACCTGCACGGGCACATGTGGGACTAGATATAGAATTTTGTTACTATCCTATATTGATATACCCTTAATCTGCTTTTTTTGTTACACGATTTAGAGCTTCTAGCTTAACATCTCAGCGCAAAACAAGAAGATTTGTTCCAATTGCTCTTAAAGAGATCAGCCACGATTCTGTTGTTAGCTTATCATGATCTAAACACATCCATTTAAGAAATTTTGTGCTTCTATGATTCTATCTCCTTCCTTTAGCCAGTGATGATTTCTTCTTCCTATAGACTTTGATATGATTCTCCCAAGGATGTTGCATTCTAAGGTGGTAAAAGGATAGTCTTTGCTTCTAAGAAACTGTGAAGCTTCAAAGAACAAAGGATGTAGAGCGAATGGTGACACTAGAGGTGCGGAAAACTCTTGATTTTACAGCGGAATGACTGTTAGACTCTCAAGAATTACTTCTGTAAAGAATTTGAATCCAAAATACAATAAGCAAGTGGGTGGATCGAATAAAACTTCTAAGAGATGCGGAATGCCTCTTAGACTTTCAAAGATTGCTACTGTAAAGAGATCAATCACCAAATACAATAAGCAAGGAAGAGAATCACTCTCAAAGTTCCAAAAATAATCATCAAAGTCTTATCTTTTTATTCAGCATAGTGGGCTCTATAAATAGAGAAAATATATGATAAAAACGTCCATAAAAGTATCTCAACATGCAAAGAATCTAGGGAAATGAAATTCAAACTTTAAAGTGCATGTAAGAGAGAAAAATAGACAAAATTGAATGCAGTTTTTGTCATGGACGAAATTTGATCTTCTTTGATTCTTTTTTTTGGGGCTGAATCCACTTTGCTGGACTTCTCTAATGGACCAATATTATAGAACAACTTGGTTTGTAGCTTAATTTATCTTGGTTTGGTCGGAATCCTTCAATGAATGCCCGCAGATCCGAAACGCGTAAGCTGGAGATCACCTGTTTTGTAAATTGAATAACTCCTTCGTCTGAACTCCGTTTGATATGATTCTTCTTCCAGGAGCTTTGTAATTGAGCTGAACATATTCTTCAGGTGGTTTCATGCGTTTAGTCCTCGTGGTTGAGAAGATACACTTCGAAAACTGAACACATGTCCTGATGCTTCCCATGATCATATCATCTCAGCGCAAAACAAGAAGATTGTTCCAATTAATTGCTCTTAAAGAGATCAACCACGATTCTGTTGTTAGCTTATCTTGATTTAAACACATCCATTTAAGAAATTTTGTGCTTCTATGATTCTATCTCCTTCTTTTAGCCAGTGATGATTTCTTCTTCCTATAGACCTCTTCGTTACAATAAGCCTTCTGTAGATTCCTCTCTATCTCCTTGATTTTCTGAAATTCTTGAGATTGGCTTGCTAATTCCTATTCAACCGTTGTTTCAATGTACGAATCTCTTGTTCAGAGTTAGTTGTATTGACCTATTTCCATTGTGAAATGTACTTAATAATTACAGAGAACATTTATCAATGATCTATTGACAAGATAATTTTGAAATTTTGTTAACTAGACAATATCATTCATATTTTTTGAATGAATGTTCATTATGAATGGTTTTATCACATTTTATTAGACAATTTAAAAAGATTCAGAATATTATAAAAAAAATAGTGGGAAAACTTATAAAATTGCTGATATAATCGACAGTATTTTATAAACTTAAATATCTTATTTAAGCAACATCACGGTTGCCAAAAAGAAAAAAAGCAACATCACGTTGAATGCAACATCATTATTAAAATGTCCACACCACAAACAAACATCAAACCCAAACGAAGAAAACAAAAACGTGCATATAAATATATCAGTAACATTCATAGAGTTTAATATCCATTTTGAGACGGAAATACTTATTTCCTTGAATGAGATCGGTCGAGAACGTAACAACCCCACGAGTCATGATAAAGTCACCAGTACCACCAACGATCGATAGGTCTCTGGTCGGCTCCATCATCGGATTCGCATCCATAATGGTCAATGTTCCTTTGTGTTGCGTCGAGTTGAACACTAATGTGCAAGCTACCCACGTGTTGTAAGTCGTTATCTTGTTGTAGAAGAAGAAGCCTTGAGCTCTAGCCACTGCTTCCGAGAGGAAGTTCTCGTCCATTGTGACAGGGTTGTCAAAGATCACAAACTTTCCAAAATTGAAGTCCCCTAGTCCTAAAGGGTTTACGATTGTTGCTGATGTGGCATTATCCGCGTTATCGCTATCGTATGCAATGTTATGGAGATGGAGGACAAAATGTTTGCATGGTTTTTTCAGGTCGATTAATGTTCGGACCGATGAGACAGTATCAGAGAGGAGTAAAACGAATAGGAAAAAGGACAATAGGGTATTGAATATTTGTTTGGAGGTTTGATTTGCCATAGTTATGGAGTTTAGTAGAAATGAGTAGTGTTTTTTATTTTGTGGATATGAGGAAGAGTGGTGAAGTCTTATTTATAGACAATTTATTTGTTTACTAGTTTTGTATAAAGATGGGACTCAGAGACGCATATAATTGGTTTGTTGATCATCTCCCTATCTAGGCGTATTCATTTGGATGTGTTCATTTGGATCAGGTAATAATGGGTAAGAATCCGGTTAGGTAATTAGGGTTAAGAAGTCAAATAATTAGGTTAAAGTAATCATTTGAAATGTACCTTTAATAATAACTACCCACAAGGGCACCCTTACAAAAACGGGTAATTAGTAGGGGAGAGTCAGGTTATACATTTATATATAGATCATGATATCCGAATTTGATCCATATATGATTTTTCTATATAACTTTTTAAGAATATCTGTAATATATTAGTATGATAAATTGAAGAATACTTTAAAATATCACCAAAAATAAGCTTTATTTATAAGAATTGGAGCATTGTTTTGAATATTTGTAATAAATATGTTCTAAAATGTTTATAAATACCAAATAACTTTGAAATTTATATATGTTACATTTAATTTTATTTTTTATTAAATACTTTAAAATAATTTATTATAATATGTTAATGATTTTTATCTGTTTTTGTTCTTAGCAGATCCGGATATCCTTCCAATCCAGGAAATCTTATCCATGCATATTCCTAATGAATAGAGCTAAGCCAAAATCAGTAGATCATGTGGGGAATCCGATAAGTTATCTTCCATTCACCAACAAAGACTAAAGTGCTCTGCCAAGCATGGAACATGAGAAAGTATCGGCTTTATAATACCACTCACTAATAAAAAAAAATATTCAGAGGTAACACTTTTTGCACTTGAGTCGATTTGGTTGGATATCATATTTTCAACGTGTACGTAGTGCTCGCTAATCCCTTGTGTGTTTCTAGTTTCTACTAATAGAGTGGTTAGCTAGTAGCTACACTAACTGAAACCAAGTTATAGATTCTAAATAGTAGAGAAGAAGCCGATTATCCGATAATAACACCTTGGTAGGTTCGAAGATGATCGAGCCTATACGCCGTTCCATGACTTGCCGGTTCAACCCCACTGGTCCTTAACAGGACCGGTTTGCAGAATCATCATAACTATCCGTTATTTTAGAGCAGGGAGTGAACATTGTATTTCTAAAGCTATATGGTGAGAACTCTCCGGACACGGAGAAGCATGGAAGCTCAACTCACGCTTCCCATTTGGTTCCAACCTTTTGAATTTGATCCAATTTAGAGATATCTTGATTAAAATTCCTAGGCTAAAAATGGGGAGATAGTTTTGTCTATCAACTTCTTGCCTATATGTAGGCATTATTTTTCCCTAATTGTTCTGAATGTGAAAGAGAAAGAGACTCACACCAAACGTATCATGGATTCAAAAGCATTTGATGTAAAAACAAAATTTATAATTTAAATAGCTAAGCGATCTTTATTTCCAACTTAAAAGTTTTAAGCGTCATCTTGGTAACAATAGTTAATTAAGAAACTGAAACTATTTTTCTACTTAAAGATTCCACGATCAATATCTTTAACTTTGGCGGATCAACTGCTTGTTTGTCTATTTCAATTGGCCATTCCTCTTTAAATTAATTTTATTTTGTAATTTCATTATTTATTTTGAATATTTCTTTGAAATTCTGACTTTATGTCCACTAAGTTACACTTCGCTTTCCAAAAAAAAAAACTTAAAAGCATAAAGTAGTTTTACTATTAGTTTTGCCCAAAAGAACTAAATAATTAGTTTTGCCCAGAAGAACTAAATAATAAGAATTATGTCGTTTCACTTGTATAACTTTTACTTTATATAGTTGTAGCCCATTTGTGTTTTTCTATCAATGCCTGAGACATTTATAAAACTATATTTATTCCTGCATGTTGCGCGGAGTTTCATTATTAAACAGTTATTATTGAACAAGTAATTTATCATATTTTGTCTTTTTTTCTTTTTATCATTTTATATTTCTTGATTTTATTAGACTTCCCATCTAACTTCATCTGATCATAATACTTTGTTATCTTCATCTTCCGGTCTTCTTTTTCATCTTCAACGTCTGTGTTTTTGTATCTTCAAAAAATTCTCTTCATCAGCTTTAATTGTGTTCTTCTTCTTGCTCTTCTTAATCTATTATTTTTTTTCTCATCTTTCTCTTCATCGTCTTCTACTTTTACTTTTTTTTCTTTTTTTAATTTCTTTTGATTTTTGTTGTTTCTTATTTTTATTTATTTATTTTTACTTTATATTAATCTGTGTTTTCTTCTTTATATTTTGATCTTTTCTTCTTTCTATTTTTCTTATTCTTTTTCATCATTTTTACTTTTTTATCATCGTCTCTAACTTCTTCATTTTTTGTTTTTTAGTTTTTACTCCTAATCTTCTTGATGAAAAATAATAATTATAAAGAGTATGTGAATTAATTGAATTATTCATTCTAGTGTAAATGTTTGACTCTTTTTTGTAAATTAAAACAGTAATTATTTTAAAATATGTGAATTATTTTTTAATAAAAAATAATAGTTATTTAAAAAAATATGAATTAATAGAGTTATTAACTTTAGTTTTAGTTTTTTTTATTTTTATTTTACTGATGTGAACATTCTAAAATGGTGATAAAAATCTCTAATTACATAATAAATTTAAGCGTGGAAACAATGTCGAACAGGACGGGCACATGTGGAATATTCACTATATATATATATAATTTTGTTACCATTGTATATTGATATATGCCCTTAATCTGTTAATTTTTTTTCCATGATTTAAAGCTTCTAACCTAATATCTCATCGCAGAACAAGAGGAACTTTGTAAAACTTCGAACAACATCAACAACAAAAGTTAAAAGCAACACAATGGGTCTTATTGGTTTAAACGCAGCAGTTATGGTTGCGAGTGCGAGAGTTTGCGGAAGCAGGTGATTGCGGTTTTGAACGTTACTAAGCAACTTTCACGATTGGTTAAACTTTCAAAGGCGGATCCGTTTGCGGGATATTTTTGACTGGCAAACCAGCGATGTTTTTCGCTGTTAAACATAAAATACCAAAATAAACATCATATATAATTATAAAAAACATAAAAACTATTTTAGTTGGCTAAATACCAAAATCAGTAATTCAAAATAATTAGTAATAAAAATATTATAAATAAATACTTAATCATTATTTAAAAACCTAATAAATTTTATAATAACATGTTCTATTTCAGTTGTTGGGAACATCACCAAAAATTGTGTCTAGTAATGTAATAAACTGGAAAAAATTGCTCCAATACGTGGATCTTCTGGATTTATCTTATGCATGGTGTAAATTTTTTTCAATTGATCTAATCGATTTTTTGCATGACTCCAACTCAAATCAACTTCAAATTGCTCAGTAATATTCTTTAGAATACGTTCTTTATTGAATACACTCAAATATATGATTCGTTGAAATAATGCACATGTCATCTCGTTTGACTATGTAACTTTCTAAAAAATAAAAAAAGGAATTATAACAAATTATAACGTGATCTTCCATTTTTATAACGTACATTTTTTTACCTAACTGCTACCGCCCGCAACCGCAAACATTGGCAGAAAACAGCTTTTGAATTTCAGCGATATAAAACGATACAAAACAGTTTATAGCGATTTCTATGATTATTATAAAATGCCATTAACCGCTATCAACTGCAAACGCAGCGTTTCCAGGTGATAAAAGGTGAACCAATCAACATCAATGTGTCCATATACAAACATCAGACCCAAAACGTATATCCATTTTGAGAAGGAAATATTTATTGCCTTTAATGAGGTCGGTCGTGAACATAACTAAATAGTTTAAAACTATGTTACTTGTTAGACAATATTGTTCATATCTTTCGTTCATAATTTAATTCTTTACAAATAATATCATCCACTTATCTATTAACATTTCGTCTATAATTTAATCTTTACAAATAATATATATTATTCAATTATCTATTAACAAAATAGTTACAAAATTTGTTACTTGTTAGACAAATAGACAATATCGTCATATTAATTACATATTCGGAATGACTGTTCTTTATTTACAGTTGATCACAGGTTATTGTGATGCGTAATAGACAATTTGAAAAGATCAAATTTTGTATAAATAGTGGGAGGCTTATAAAATTTGTGATATAATCGACATATAGTGTTTATAAAATTAAATACCTTGTATATGTTAATATAAACAGTGGTAAACAAAACACAGGCAACACTTTTTTTTATTATTAAACTTGTTACAAAGAAATGACGATAGCATTTGTAACAACTTGCAACAACATTAAAGTTAAAAGAAAACACAAAGTCCACATACAAACATCAAACCCAAAACATATTTTAGTAACATTCATAAAGTTTAATATCCATTTTGATACGGAAATACTTACTGCCTTCAAAGAAATCGGTCGTGAACGTAACAACCCCACGACTCATGATAAAGTCACCAGTCCCACCAACGATCGACAGGTCTCTGGTCGGCTCCATGAACGGATTCGCATCGATTAGGGTCAATGTTCCTTTGTGTTGCGTCGAGTTGAATATTAATGTGGAAGCAAACCACGAGTTGTAAGTAGTTTTCTTGTTGTAGAAGAAGAAGCCTTGGGCTCGAGCTACTGGTTCCGAAAGGTAATTCTCATCCATTGTGAGAGGGTTGTCATATATCACAAACTTTCCAAAACTGAAGTCTCCTAGTCCTAAAGGGTTTACGATTGTTGCTGATGTGGCATTATCCGCATTATCACCATCATAGGCGATATTATGGAAATGTAGGACGAAACGTTTGCATGGTTTTTTCAGGTTAATTGATTTTCGGACCGATGAGACGGTATCAGAGAGGAGTAAAACAAATAGAAAGAAGGACAATAGGGTTTTGAATATTTGTTTGGAGGTTTGGTTTGCCATGGTTATGTTAGTAGAAATGAGTAGTGTTGTGTATTTGTGGATATGAAGAGGAGTGGTTAAGCCTTATTTATATACGTATATAGTTCATATTTTTATTAGTTTTTGTATAAAAATAGGGTTCAGACGCTTTTTTTTTTTATTAGGTTTGTTGATATTTTTGGTTTCCCCACTTAGGCGTGTTCATTTGGGTCGATCGGATAATAACGTTTAAGGTTTGGGTACACGTATTTTAAAGTAGAAAAAAATAATTACATTGTGCTGTATTTGTAAAACTACGGATCGAGTAAGGGTAATATATTAGAACTATCCAAAGTGAATCTTTTAAGAAAATAAGTCGTGTATACGAGTAACAAAAGGGGTAGGACCAGGTTTCTAAAATCATTACCTAAATGGAATAATTCGGATATTAAATAGATTTAGACGATTAATTATACTAATGATAAATATAATATTGGAAAACTTGGAACAATTTACAAATCTTCTTGGATAAGTTTAAGAAAAATGTCTACATTTTGTGAAATATTAGATAATTTTGATCACAAAATATAGACAATTTTGAGTAATTTGAAGAATTTATAGATGTATTTAGATTTTTTAGAAAAAAATTAGTTATCCTAACGGGTAACTTGGATGTTCGAAATTATTATCCGAACCTTAGTTGACTATTATCAGTTGAAATAAATTATATTTATTCAAAATAGATCCTTTCTTCAAAATTTTCAGATTGTTCAGATCATGCGCAGTGAAAATTGGATTATCCAACCCAAAATGAGCAGGCCTAACTAAAATCAGTAGACTAAAATAGGATTAACTTCAAAAAAAAGATTTATAGACTTATCATGTGGGGAATTCGAATTATATTATTTTACATTTTATTTTTATTTTATTATTAAATTAAGAGATACACTCAGCCAAAGCATGAAACATGAGAAGTATTGGCTTTATTATGCCACTCAATAATTAAAATAGTCAAGACATTTTGTGCTTCTCATGTTTTCAACGTGTGGTGGAGTTGGTCGGATATCATATTTTCGACGTGTAGTGGTAGCTAATCCCTTGTGTGCTTGTACTAGTACAATGATTAGCTACACTAACTTAAACCCAGTTACAAACTCTAATTAAAAAATGTTTGTTTAACAAATACCAAACAGAAGAGTATTATGAAAGTATATGTATAGGGGGTGCATGCAGTCTTTTTCGTACCAAGGTAACACTGTACCTTTTTTTTGTATGAAAAAGTTTAACCAAACCTAATAATTCACACGGAAAGACCAACACTTTACTTATGATAAATTGTTCCAAAGGCACATATATTTTTTGTTGGGGTCATTCGCCCCTAATAAATTTTAAAAATGGTTATAACTTATTAATCTTAGTTTCAATGCCCCACTCATAAAATTATATATACTTTTTTTTACCTGCAATGAAGAAAATTTCTGACTTCGAATTCGCCGGTTCCAAACGTTAAATTTTGCTAAATAACAACTAAATCATAATAGAAAACAGAATGTTAAGATCACACTCATTGCTAAGTATATGTATTTATAAATAAATATATATTAATATAAGGAATATAGACTAATCCACTTCATCAATTTTATGGATTTTCAACTCAAAACTAATTAGTATAAGTGGATTGGCATATATCTTTTATATTATTACTTATTTTTTAATAAACTTGGGATATGAGATCTCGATCCAGCTCTTTGAAATGATGGTTTATCTTTCACATCTCGAACTGAGTCTTACATTAGAACTGGTAGTAAATTAGTCGAACTACTCTTCGATCATAATCAACAAACTGGCATATGATTCCAGGTTAAATTATAGATTACCAATTCAGTACCAATTAGAAATGAGTTGATTGGTCAATATTAGTGTAGGATTATTCCCACTTTCAATGCTGGATATTAACATGCAAAGCATGTCAAACTGAATTATATTTAATTAGTTTTCTATTTCTTAAACAAACAAAAAAAAAAAAAAAACTGAAACTCAAAATGGCTAAACTAACAGTTGGATTGAATAGTCATACACCTAAGAGGTCGTGGTGAAAATCAGATGCCTCTTTAAGACTGCATTAAAGCCTTATAAATAAAATATGCTAAAGCCATTTCATTTTCCTTAGATGTCAAAAAAAAAAAAAAAAAGCCATTTCATTTTCCTTTTTACTAGGTAGCAAAGAATATTATATTCCATACACTATTAGTACTACATAGGTCTGAAACGGAGCCAGATATCCGGACTTTTCAAGGTATCCGAATCCAGATCTGTATTCGTCGGATAATCAATTTTACTATTCGGATCCAGGTCCGAAAACTCCGGATATCCAGAGACCGGATATTAGGTTTGAACCGAATATTTACGGATATCTGACCGGATATTTGGTTAAAATGTATCATCATAACAAAAGTTACAAATAGCAAAAATTTAAAAACATCTAAATAGCATTCAAATAGCACAAAGTTAAAAGTTTACATAGTAAAAGAGAAAATAGTAATAAAGAAGTTAATTTATCTTCATGTCCATGTGCTATCCATTTTCATGTTCTTCTCTCACAATCTAAAATAGAAAATTATCATGCAATATATGAATTTTAATCATATGTAAATGAGTTAAACCAAAAAAAAATTTCAAACATAATTAAAACAAAAAATAAATGCATGTCCAAAGATTTCTAAACTAATTCTTACCTCATTTAAACTTCACATTCAATATGATCATGGCTGCATTATTCCTTTTTGTCGATGTGGGCAAACTTAAAAACAGACTTTTAAAGTTAATTTTTGAAAATAAATAAATATTATCAAAAATAAATAAATATTTAACAAACGGATAACAGATAACAGATATCCGGTTTCAAAATTTTCTATTATCCGGATCCGTATCCGAAATAATCGAATACTTAATTTCACTATCCGGATCCGAACTACACATATATTTGGTTTTTACAGATAAGATAGAACCGAATATCGGATCAGAGACAAGATACGGATAATAATTTCAGGCCTAATACTACTACACATGCAGTCTACGTGCTTAACAATACATTGATTAAACAGAAAGAAAAGAAAAAAAAGTATAAAGTTTCATTATTGGTATGCCAGACATGTTATACTTTTAAGAAATGTATTTTAATCTTGGTGGATGAAACGAGCTCACTAAAAAGAGAACTCCTTTGCTTTGCATGTAAGGCAAATAATTAGCGTAAGTTAACGCTAGTTTTATTTGGGTTGGCAGAAAAAAAGAAAACGACGAACTGTAAGACTTAAGCTTTCTCGAGGTGAAGAAAATCCTGTAAATGAAACGAGATCCATCAACGATAATCCACTTTAATTAGAATTGCAAAGAATTATAATATTTGTTTGATCTACCGCTGTTATGTTAAAAATAAAGCAAGAATTTGAATTTACTAAACTAAATCCTAGAACCCTTAAGAATTTGAATTTACTATAGCGATAAACTAAATCCTAAAACTAAATCCTAGAACCACAAACGAATCTTAAGCAATCAAGTTTGAAACATCTTGTCTCTAATTTCCGGCCAACTCCAAAAATAATTTCTTGAAACAATATATATGTTGCTTGGGCCGGGAGACTTAAAAAGCCCAAACAGCTGGCCTTAAGGCATTGGATACTCAACAAGCGAAATTTGGAAGACGGTTTTCTAAAATAGCACAACACCACTAGCTTAAATTTCTAATAATAGCTCAAATGTAATACCAGAATGACTCAAAATACTTTTTTATTGAAGAAAAACTAAATCTTTAAATTGGAAAAACGGAACTCAAACATTATTTTTAAAATAGATGTGTAAAATTTATTTAGGGTTGACAAGTATTATTACTAAATAATTTGTTTAATTTTTGGAATTTTCAAATTCATTGTGGTAGATTTGGAATAAAAAAAAATTTTTGAACAAATTTTAGGTATTTCTCTTTTGTAATCCTATATTAAAAGAAAATGTAAATGCAGATACTAAATAGAGGGCCACAATGTTAAATTGCGGATAAATAAAAGGATTTAACTGTACTTTCAAAATTTTGGTTCAATTACAAATTAAGCCCAAAAGATTTTATGGCTTAATAAAGCTGAGACCCAAAATTCAAAAGTCAACAAAATGATCTTCACCGAAGTTTTTTTAAAGAGTGGTCTCTTTCAAGTTTCTACGATAAAAGATATCCGACCTGCCGGAATCGAACCAGCGACCTAAAGATTACAGCAACTACTACAGTCTTCCGCTCTACCAACTGAGCTAAGGTCGGTTGGTGCTATAATTGGAATGTAGAGTAAAGTTAACGTTTCAGACATATTTGAAAACATAGAAAATCAACAAAGCTGTTGGTACAAAGCTGCAGATTCCCGCATTCAAACCCTTTGACCTGTAATTATGAATTGAGCTAAGCTCAAACGATCGGAAACAAAGCTTTTCTTACATACAAGTCGTTATCACAAAAGGGTTTAACAAGTGCTTCTGCTTATAGCTTACCAAACCACAAGACAACAAGAGTATCAAAAAGAAAGAACTTGTGAGATCAAAAAAGCTATACTCTCTTCACCAATAAAAACTAATCATGTATTCATGTTGCATAGAGATGTTCAAGCGTTATGTTTGATGACTACAAAAGAAAGACAACCACCCAATACGGTTCAGGTAAAGAACCTGAATTACGTAGTAGAAATCAACTGTACGAGATTACATGACTCTCTCCCCATCAAACTTTTGCCTAAACTTAAAAATACAAATTTGACAGGATCTCGAAACACACACCTCTTTTGTGTTCTTTACTCTCTACTACTCATTCTGAAAATGATACGACCTTTTGTTGAATCGTAAACACTCATTTCGACCTTGACTTTATCTCCGGGGAGTATTCGTATGAAATTCTTCCTAATCTTACCACAGATATAACCAAGAATGTTATCCCCATTCTCCAAATCCACTCGAAACATCCCGTTGGGAAGTGATTCGGTTACTAAACCTTCGATTACTGTTTTGTTGCTACCTTCTTTAACAGGAGGCTTGGCCGGTTTGCTTCGGTTAGCGCCTCCTCGACCTCCGCTAACTCTCTGGCAACGTATCACTGGCCTGACACTCAAATTGCTCGAACCAAAGTTTATCTGTCTGTTACAAAGATAAGACACACAAAAGAAGTAGAGTTAGCTGAGTTCGTCGAACCAAAAGAACTGGTTTTTACAGAACAGAAATCAAAAGAACCACAAAAGTTGGTTTCTTTTTGTCATTAAACACTCGAAACAAACTGTTATCCCCAAATTACAATGGACAATTTCAGAAATTTCAAGCCTAACTCTTTTGACTCCCGAAAGATTTGAATTGGGCTTGACGAGATCCTATCGCAATGAGGCAATCACTAATTCGAGCCTGATAAAAATCCAAACTTTACAGTGATGGTTCATCGAACGATTGGTATCAATACGAAATGATGATTGATGAAGGAACTTCGGAAGGTAATCACAGGTAAAAGTCGAATTCAATGAAGTTATCGTAATGAATTTGAGAACCTACCGAATCAAAACTGCATCTGTAAACCGATTTTGACGAGGAAGAAGAAGTTGAGGACGGAAAGTGGAGCAAAGTTGAAGCATTTTTTTCTCTTATCTTCAAAAATCCCTAAAGCTTTGCTTTGTAAATGTATCCTCTTCAAATACCACCACAGGCCACAGCCTTTGGACGAAATTTGGCGTACCTCAGATAATGATACGCTGCGTTCAGGAACACGATAGATCATTTATATCATCCAAGTATATTATGCCACGACATTAACCACCTATTTATTAATAGTTTAAATTTATAATCTTGTGGTCTCATATGTAGTGTTGAACAAGGTCAATTTACACAAGGCCCAATATATTATTACATTATGCGAGGCCGAAAATGTAGAGGAAATTCTCACGATACAAAATTTGAGAGGATGCATGGTTAACCCAATCATCCACCAAGATATGTGAATGTTACTCGGTAAATTCATTTTTATGTAGTACAGAGCCAGAGCCGTGCCCAGAGATATGAAGCTCGTAAGCGAACTAAGAAAAAAACTCTCATCGTCGCAAATCCATATCGTATTGAATAAATAATAACTATCATCGTCTCAATTTATATAAAACAATAATAAAAATCATAATCTTAAAAAAAAATAACAAAATTTAAAACATAATTTTTTAGAGATAATAATTTTTTTTAACTAACTCCCTTTCGATAGATAAGATAATCTGCGACACACTAGATAAAATAACCAAGTCACTTAATATCTCCTGCTACACACTAGATCTCACATTTTCTAAGATAAGAAAAAGATTTAGACTATCGTGAGATGAAATTATAGAGAATTATATACAATATTGCAAAAAAGTATATATTTTACTGTGAGATTTAAAAATAATTTTTTAAAAAGTATCATATATGTTAATAAGCGGCCAACTAAATTGTCATTAGTTCATTACTCTAATTTTTTATTAGTTAAAAATTGGGTCCAATATTTAACTAAAATCTATTGCTACTACCTATGCTAGTACTACTAATCTTGGGCCTTCGATTTCTTTTGTAAAAGCTGGGCCCGTAGGCCAATGCCTCTTATTGACTAACATAGGCTACAGAATGTCAAATTGGTATGTGACCGCAAGATGAAAGAACTAGTTTGTAACTTTGTATTTATCATATGATTAATTTACAGTTTAATTTATTGCATACAAAAGGTATATCTACTGATAAGCAATACATCTACCAAGTTCAAACGCATCAGAACACATATCATACAAAAAAAAACTGAAAATGTGATATCGAAACCTGAGATCAAGCACTTCTCAATATGGAGAGGCGTTCCTCATCCACTCTTTTTGGCGACAACGCAATGACATACTTTAACCTCATTTCTTTTATTTTCTTGTAATATCTTCAAGGGTTGTACTTGAAGACTTATGTTGCTTAGGCTTTTTTCTTTATTATGATTTATTATAATCGACACTTAAAGTGATTTACAACCAAAAAGTTAATTAACTAAGCTACTTGCACATGCACATTGTGTGAGACCCCGCTCTCGTCTTCCCTTCTGGGAATCAGACGAATCGGTTATCAAATTTATGAAATCCCAATCCACCTTTCATCTGGATTGGCTATCAACTCTGAACGTCACAACCGTCCCTTCTAGTGAGCGCAATGTCTTCTCTCTATGCATGTTGGTCTAACGTTCTCTTTTCTAGGCCCGTTGACCCACAACAGTCGGTGCGTTAGTTCAGGTGGCTCATAAAACTTGTTTACTGTCCCTGAAATCACCATGTGATCTTTGTCCTCACTCACACGATACCGCAGATTACTTCCCGATAAGTCACCAATCCTGAAATTGCTCAAACTTTAAGCACGCTTAACTTTGGAATTCTCTCAAGACCAATGTCGAAAAGATAAGTGCACTTTGATGACATATGTAACCAAATCAATTCTTATAAGCATTTTTCATTTATACTAAAAATTGGGATGTTACACATTGAACCCTCGTTCGTTCGTTCTGTGTTGTCTTCAAACAAAAAAATATCTATTATATATGCAATTGATACGTACAAAAAAGTATCATATTAATTTAACCAACAATAACTGGATAAAAGTAAAATATTCTTCCGACAGATACAAAACACAATTGTTTAACCTTCCAAGGGTTAGAAGAATCGAAGCGTTTTGTAATACTATAATATTTACATCAAAATTTGAAAATTAAAAAAAAATATCGCCCAATCACGTCGTGCCATCTGGATAAGAGCTGTGGTCTTCAGAGTCGTCGAAACGAACCAATCCTTCATAATTGAGCTTTATTTCTTAAAAAAAAATAATCCGAAATGGCTATGAACTCAAGAAATGAATCCCTAATGGACATGCTCTTAGGAAAAAGAAAATTAGTGTGGCATGGAAGAGCATATAGTTGGGAGTGGTTGGGAGGGAAGTGGGGATTTATGTTTATGTTTTTATGTTTTTAATATAATTTATGTATTTGTAATAAAATTTATGTTTTTTGTTTTTTTTAGATATAATTTTCTAATAAAGAATATATTTTTTTCTATATATAATCTATTCTATTGATTTCTTTTTCTAGTACATATATGACCTCCATTAAAAAAACATTATTTTTTTGTTCATATTAATCCGAAAGTGCAATGATTATAAAAATGTTATTATAACATGTCCATTTATATTAATCCCAAAAAATTACAATTATTAAAATATAATTATAATCTTTTCATTCATCTTATTTGTATATTTAATATAATTTTTAAATTTGAATATTAAAATTTTTAGACTTAATTATTAAAAATATACAATAATATATTATTTTTATCTTTTTCATTTAAAATATTACTTAAATTTGAATATTTAAATGAAATTTAAATTAATATCAGATTTATTTATTTTTGTAAAAAAACTATAATACTAACTTATTTTATGATTTTTGACAAATAGTATAACCTATATTGAAGGAATCTAAAACAAATTTAAATTCGAATTTACATTTTCGAATTTATTTTAAATGTAAACTAAAAATATATTATTTTATTAATATTATAATAAATTGACTTGTTTGGTATTATAAATAGGAGTTATCCAAAAATAGAATAGTAGAAAAATAAATAAAACTTGTTTGGACACAAAACATGATTCTATTAGATTAGTACTCGAGTAGTATTATTCAGTCACGATAAATTCAATTTCTTGGCTAGAGGTTATAAGACATCTAGATGAACTACCAAGTACTCAGAACTCTAGTGAACTATATTCAAAGGATCAACCATAAAAGTGTGATTAATCTTGGTTTTTGAAGGTCGAAATAAAATCTTATGGTTTCAAGCATTTTTAAAACCGGACTGACCTGGTGGTTAGACCAGGTTCGACCATGAACCAGACTTGTGGCCAGATAGGCAGATAGGTTTCTAAAAACTGGTTCAATGATTCTATTAAAAATTAAAATAATTTTATAATTAATTTTTGAGTTTTTTTAAAAATAATTAAAAACAACAAAAGTTGATATAATAATATTTATAAAGTTTTAATTTAATATTTGAATGATATTTAAAGCTTTAAAATGTGTTATTTAAGTTAAGGATTAATCTAACATCTTTACAATTTTATTATGTATATATAGTATATATATAACAATTATATATTTCTTTTAAAAATAAAAATTTTGTAAACCAGGTTTAATCTGGTCGAACCAGATTGAACCGTGACCCATATCACTACAAGAAATCAGGTGAATTTCCGACCACGGCATCCGTCGGAAAATTGTCGGAAACGACACCATCCGGCGAGTTTCCGAGAAAGAGGTATTTGTCGGAATACCAGCTTTGGAAAGAAATAATTGTCGGAATACCAGCCTCGAAAGAAATAATTGTCGGAAATTCATCGCAAAATTTCCGAGAAACAAAATTCTCTGTAAATATTGTCGGAACATAGTCGGGAACTCCATCAAAATTTAATCGGAAAGTCAACAAGAAATTTCCTCGGAAAATCAACAGAAGCATTTTCGACAAGTTTCCGATGAACTAAATTTTGTCGGAAGTTTGTAGGCGATTAGTCAAAAAATCCCGAGAGATTTCTGACAAATATGTGATTTTCTGTCAAACTTCCGACGATATTACCGGATATGTCAAGAAATTTCTCATTTGCGCATTTTCGACAAAGACAACGCATCTTACCTTGTCACGCACGATTTGTTGATTTGTAGCAAAACCCATAAACTCTGTTAATCTTGTTTTATTCTCTGCAGTTATCTCTCTAGTAACTTCATCTAACCGCTTGTACATCCATTCTCGAGTTTTGAAATGTTATTTGAAAGCATTTTTTTTAATTGTATTATATGAATAATTATTTATTTTTTATTAAAAAGAGGTTAATTTTAATACCCCAAAACTTTTTAAAAAAATTTGACTAAAAGTCTATCATCTTATTAAAGAAGAGGCTCAGAAATTTTTTTTTTCTTCAAAATTTCATACATTTTCGAAGATGGAGGGGAGGGTATATATAGAAAATCTTGCGACGAAGACTTTTCTCGGAAATTTCTTGGAAAACGTTTCTGTCAATTTTCCGACAGAATTTGCTTCTAGTTTCCAACGATAGTTTTATCGGAATGTTCCTTCAAATTTCTGACAAATTGGTTATTAATTTCCGACTAACTTGTCGTTAGAAGGTTTCTGACAAATTATCGAGGAAATTTGTCTGATAACTTTTCTAGGAATTCTGCTATCTCGGCGATATCTTCCTGTTTCCGACAGATATCCCGACTAATACTGCCGTCGAAAAGTTTTCGAGATATTTCCGAGAATTTGTTTCTGATTAATTTCCGACAAAGTTTTTTTTCTCGCCAATATCTTCGTATTGTGACAAACTTTCGACAAACCACAAAATTTCTCTGAATATCCTCGGAATCTCGTCGGAAATCTTCCGATAAAATTATTCTTCGAAAATGTTCCTTGGAAATTCACCTGATTTCTTGTAGTGTATGCTTAACCGGTTTGACTTCCGGTCCGGTTTTAAAAACATTTGAGTTTTTTGGAATCGAAAATCTTAATTAATATCATATGTTGCATGCTTATCCGGAGGGTTTATTTAATCAATTAGCGACTAGAAGTATATAAATATGGTTATATATAGTACATGATTTTTAGATTTTACAAGGAACATAAATTCCGTAAGCCTGACCATGAATTTGTAACTCATATGAATAAATATCACTGCAGCATAATAGCTGATTTTTCAGTATTCAAAAATAAAATATACAGACTGCGACATACCAAATGCTATACATTTCAATATGAATATAGAGAAACGTATTACCGAATTTTACCTTTTTTTCTTTACACGATCTTCGATCATATTCTTCTTCATCGGTCAACAAAATGCATAGGACTAAGATCGAATTCTGCAATATCTTTTAACGAAGAAATATTATACGACGTCATAGTACGAATCCACTACGGATATATAGATGTTAACTGAAAATTATATACATAGATACACTGCATATGTATGTGTCCCTCGTCAGAAAAGTTAAATATACTCTCATATGTGTATTAGTAGCGTTTTCTTGAATACATTGAACAAACAATAGCTTGGAAGGTTTAATAGAAGCAAAACTCTTGGAATCAAGAAAAAAAAGGGAGCTCCCTTCAGTCCAATCGCAATGAACCTAAGATCTAATAAGTCTTCGATATCATTCGCTCATTTAACAAGTTCAGTCTTTTTTTAACTACTTGGTAAATGAATGAATGAGTCCGAAACTGGTTGGATCATATATATTACAACATGTGAATGGACTTAAGGAAGCTCTTTTGTTATTTATCCAAGAAATATCATTTACAACAATCACTATAATTATTCACTGTACAGTAAAACCAATGAATGTATGTAAGTACGAATATGTGTAAATATGTATAATGGATGCTATATGCATGGATCTAGAACCCTAGATATAAGAAGATATTCAGTTATAAAAGGATATGTTGATTGTGATATATGATGTACTTGTAAAATACGGAAATATACACGATGGAAAGTATCATGGAATGGTAGGTTGGATGGGTTTATATAAGCTTAAAGTTCAACTTCCAAGTACACTGTTTTCGGATTTAAAAGAGAGAAAAAGTTTTCGTTGGTAATAAATTAAAGAGAAAATTGCTGAATGGGATGTTTTTAAGTTTTAAATTTGAGGAATAGGATGTTTTGAAAACCGTAGAAGGAAATAGGTGTTTTTACTGTTTGTCTTCCCACAAGGGCCCTTAGGCAATTTTTATTTTCGAAATTGCCATTATCGAAG